CAGACAGGCGATTGGATTGTAAAAGTCATTGAGTTCTTGACTGACCTAAAATTATCATTGCAGCATGAGCTAAATCCAGGATTTTGTTTCAGAATCTGAGATAAAGTTACCGGATCCCTTTAAATGCGTTTGCATTAAAGGTGGTACCCCCCCCCCCCAACTCAGTGTTATTTAGGGTAAGCACATGCGTGTTCCCAGCACCCCCCCCCCTTTTTTTTAGCATAAGTCCCCTGTGTTAAGTCAATACGGGCAGATCTTTTTCATTGCAAAACTCCAGAGAATCCAAAACTCTGCTGCCAGGCTGTGTTCACTTTGATGTACATGTACGGTATATGTATTGTAATTTGTAGGTTTATTCACACTTTTTTTGTTTTGTTTAATATGTAATTGTTTATCAGTCTATTTTTGTTTGTTATAGCGCTTAGAGATTTTGGTGGTAAGCGCTTTAAAAGTAGCGTTTTTTTTTATATTTTAATTTTTTAAATTTTGTTACGAGCCAGAGAATTTGGGAACACGCATGCGGTACCTCCGTTCCCGGAGTGGTGGGGGGGGGGGGGGGGGGGGGGGGGGGGTACTACTTCTTCATAGGATGTCAACTTATATGCATTGCATTAAACCTGTTGATATTGATCTCATGGTTATATTTATTTTATAAATAAAATCAAACAACACAGCGAGGGTTGTAGATGACTACTAAGCAATCATTACTGTATGTAGGACACTGAGTTGAAGTTATTCATGATTTATTCAAGAGAGGAAGGTCAGACAGACCTGATGTTTAAAATATTTAACAAGAGAAACATAGAAACAGAGAGAGGCATTGAGAGAGATGTCGACACTTAATGAAAGAGAAAGAGTGATAATAAGGAGAGAGAGAGGGGGAGAGAAAGAGAGAGAGAGAGAGAGACGGAGAGGGGTGGGAGAGATAGACAGGGAGAGCAAGAATTAGGTGTGAAGAGGAAGATCAAGAGAATGAAAGATTGAATTTTACAAATGTACATGTTTCCATGTACCTTTTCTTAATTTATATTATAATGTGAACGATATAGTGATGGTCTTTGCTTAATTTTAGTTTGCATTCTTTCCTCTCGCCTTGTATTCTAATTTATTATTTTAATTTAGTAAATGTTTGTATAAATATAATTTTGATTTCTATCTCTTCCCCTATGTCATAGCCTTGTTCTTGCTCTCCCTTCCTCATGTTAGTCTATCTCTCTTTCTCTCTCTCTGTAATGATAACCCCTCTATCAATCTTTTCTTCATCAACTCTTGATATATTCCTCCTCTTCTCCTTCTCGTTCATCATCACGATCATCATCATCATCTCAAAACTGTATTAATCAATCTACATGTATAAGACTCCTGAGATTGATCAATACAGTTCTTATAATATATGACCATTATGTACAAACAGTAAGAACAATTATTCCAACTTGATGGGCAACAACGTAATCTCCATTTTCTCCTCCTCGATCAAATATTGGCTTCTTTTTCAATTTTCATTCTTTACTCGTGTTACTTCTCTTTCTCTCTGACTACAGTGTATACTCACAAGAAAGTAGAATCAATGGTTTGACATGAACCAGTCTAGAAAATGAACTAAATTTATTCAAGTATCAAATACATTTTGAATTTCAGACAGCTTTCTCCCAGGAGATGAAACAAATGTCTCCCTAACCAGAAACTGACAAAATAACTAAATGCCTTCCCCTCTTTGTAGTCTCTCATTATTCTTCCCTCTAGTGATGGAGGGTCCTTATCCAGTAGCACACAAATGTCTCTATACATAGTAGACGGCCATCTCTACATGCCTTTCTTCCCCCCCCCCCCATCCATCCATCGTCCAGTTCCTCTCTACCTCTCTACCTCGAATGGCTGAACAGTACCCCCAGCGTCAGGGCAGAGAACACCCATAAAATAATGACTTCTCCAAGCTTGAGTCCCCTCCTTGTAGAAAGTCACGTATCACTTCTGTTGTCCATTGTGAAATGAGCTCTCTCGTAGCATCTACGTCATCTTCTGATTCATCGGCCATATAGTGTTTGATGATGCTGCAACTGATAAATAAAAGGAAAAAGACAATAAAATTTAAGTTTGTAACCTGAAGAATAACGGTAACAAAAGAACCCTTATCACACTAGATCATGGGGAAATATTTTTGTGCTAAAGGGTGGCCCCAAAAGGGTGACCCAAAAAGGTGACCTTACCATCAACTGAACAAAATATCGGTCTGCCAAATTCATATTTTCGGGAAAAAATAGATGCTCTAACAGTAACCGACCCCCCCCCCCCCCCCCCTCTCATTCTCTGGCTGGCTGAGTCGATGTGAAATTTTCGGCACGATTTTCAAATTTTAACCCCCCCCCCTCGAAAAATTCCTTCATACGCCCCTGTCATGTAGATCCTCAAGTAGAGCTCATCAATACATAGACTATTATATTCAGATCAAGATAGACACAAGGCAATCAGTCTACTTAAAATGCACACACATTTAAACATACGGGACTAGATCTAGAGGTCTAGGCCTACATTTACTAAAGCTTGACCCGGCCCACTCTCATGCATTACGTCGTATTATCAGCTTTATTCGTCATAAAAATGAATAAACACAAACTTTGGTTTCTTACCGTACAAACGATACTGGAGTGAAAGAAAATCACTGCAGAATAGCGGATTATGTACAAGATTAAGATGTTGCTTCGATAAGAATCCCGTTGTTTGCAACGGGACAGCTGATCACGGCGAAGGTGAAAATGTACTAGAATTATGTCCCGGCATGCTTTGCGATGAAACAACCGTGAAGACACGGATAATTATCTGGCGGCCGCCAGATAATTAACTGGCGGCCGCCAGATAATTAACTGGCGGCCGCCAGATAATTAAGTGGCGGCCGCCAGATAATTATCTGGCGGCCGCCAGATAATTTCTCTTAAATTTATTTCGTAGGTGGCACTAATGGGCTTCCGTAACTTAGCCTTAATGTTGACAAACCATTTTGTACGCTATTTTGGACTTGTGCTAATTCAATAGTCAGAATTTGAATTGCATACATTGAACGGAGTGTACCTGGTTAACGTCATCTACGTCTTCTTTTGGACAACTGCACCTGAACAAATGGACTTGATTAACGGTAGTCAGCAACTTAATCTCTACATGGTCAGCGCTCGCGAAACAGACCGAAGTTCTCCTCATGCTTCGGTTTCGTTGCACGCACGCACGTGATTGCTGCGGTTGCGTCGTCCATATGGCAATCCGTTTTAACATTTATTCCTTTTTCTTGACATCAAGAACTTATATTGCTTTTCAACAGAAAATCATTTCTTGATATCAAGAAATCGAATTCTCAATATCAAGAATTCAATTCTTGATATCAAGAAATAGGAATAAATGTTAAAACGGCTTGCCATACGTCCTGAGTCGTTATACCTGATTGGCCGCGAGGCCACGGGAAAGACACGTAGTCTCGTCCGGCTACACTCTAGCCTTTTGACAAGGCCTCGTGACTCTAAGCGGCTGAGATGAGTCTAGATACCCGGAGTGAACGCGCGACCGAGTGACGGAACGTCACGAGGCCTTTTGAAAAGTGGGTTTCACTGCTGCGCATGAATTATTCATAGATACATATTAACATGCCAATACGCCTACTTTGGATTTATTGACCAATCAGAACGGCGATCTCCCAGTTGGCTTCGTTCTTGATTCGTTCCATGTAGAGGTCAGTGGTCTTAGCACGTACGTAATAGTTCATAGCATGTAGGTCCATGTTCGCACTACGTAGAGTTTACTGTGTGTGTGTGTGTGCGTGTGTGTGTGTGTGTGTGTGATGGATACTATATGCTGACGTCGTGCGAGGATACGTTCGCTGATTGGACGCTCTATTTTCTGGAGCGAATTCCAGTCGGAAACAAGGGTTAACATAAGAAATCCAAATCAGATTGATAAAGGCCACTAGGATGGGCTCCTCGCTCTCGCGTTCACTTGGGTTTTCGCGATTAGTCTCGTTTTAGTCGCTCGGCGTCTATCAGACAAGTGGCCTTGTTTAAAGGCTAGCTACACTCCAGTTCATAAATACTATTTACGCATGATCATTCGTTCCCAAATTGTAAAAGCATCGAGACGAATACTGGTATCTTGCTCTTGAAAATTATGTAATCAGTCATTTTAAGCACCGACAGTACATTTATCTGATACACAAGTGGAAGTATTCTTCTCAAGAGGCAAACAAAAGGTATACATGAAGCACCTCCATCACCCACTTCGGCAGTGATTACGCTTAAATGCACAAGTGGGACGTATCCAACGTTTAAAAGATCTGTGGATATTTTGGGGTACCGAAGCTATTTACGAACTGGCTTATTGTTTGTAGGTAGGACAAACATTATGGCTTGTCCTGCTGAAGCTACAGTCCCATATACGTCCCGGACCGTCCCGGACCATCCCGGACCCCATCCGGGGTGATCCGGGATTCGGTCCGTGTTGACACCGTGTTGGCACCGGGGTGGTCCTGGATGGTCCTGGATGGTCCTGGATGGTCCTGGATGGTCCTGGGCGGTCCGGGAGTCGACCCCGGATGTTTTTGACGGTCAAAAACTGCCGGGGTGGTCCGGGACGGTCCGGGACAATAGTTTGATCCGGGGTGATCCGTGTAGCCACCGTGCTGGGTCCGGGGTCATCCGTAGTGGCGCCGGGGCGGTCCGTGTTGATCCGTGGCAGTCCGGGAGTGAGTTATTGACCGCCCAGGACCATCCAGGACCATCCAGGACCACCCCGGTGCCAACACGGTGTCAACACGGACCGAATCCCGGATCACCCCGGATGGGGTCCGGGATGGTCCGGGACGGTCCGGGACGTATATGGGACTGTAGCTAAAAAGCATCACACTTTTTTTGAACAAAACATCCCGGACCATCCCGGATCACCCCAGACCATGGTCCGGGATGGTCCGGAGTGGTCCGTGCTCGTCCGTGCTGGTCCGGCTTTATATGGGACTGGGGCTTTACCGTATTTAGCACCGTCGGAACCTTGGGCATCAAACATCTCTGGATAGGTAGCAGCATGTGATGTCTCCTGAGCATCCAGAAACTCTACCATGCCGCTAGCTCGGGTGTAGATCACCATGAAGAACCCGCCACCTATCCCAGAACTCTGACCATTGACCACACCTACACATAACATACTGGTAATGGCACTATCTACAGCAGAACCACCCCTCTCAAGAATATCTCTGGGGGAGGGGGGGGGGGGGGTAGGGGGAGAACAAATGGAAGAGTGAAAGGAAGGGACATTGGAAGAAAATAGAGATAGATAGAGAGGGAGAGAGAGAGAGAGAGAGAGAGAACGAATGGAAACGTGAAAGGAAAGTACATTGGGAGAAAACATAGAGAGGAAGAGAGAGAGAGAGAGGGAGAGAGAGAGAGAGAGAGAGAGAGAGACCGAATGGAAACGTGAAAGGAAGTGACATTGGTTGGAAGAAGGAGAATAATAATAATAATAATAATATGTAGCTTTTATATTGCGCTTAATACAAATGTCTCTAAGCGCTTTACAAATATAATATTACCGAAGAGAGAGAGAGAGAGAGAGAGAGAGAGAGAAAAGCGCACAAAGAGAGAAATGAAGGAAAGGAAAAGAACATTATTTGAAAACGACATGTAATTGAAGGAGAATGAACATTAAATAAGGTGAATAGAAACGTTCCTTGAGAATCGAAAGAAAAACAGAACAAAACAAGAAACCGTGAAATCGATGAAAAAAAATACGATGGAAGTATAGAACCTAAAATGATTTATGAAAGTAATTACAATTTCGGAGATTTGATCGACTGATCGTCGATGCTTGATGCCAATATTCGAAGTTTATTCTTCCATGCAGGTGTGTTCATTTTGTATAGGGGGGGGGGGGTGGATATAAAAAGAAAATAAGACTACTTTGCCTTTTGCCGTATAAGAACTTTGCATTCTAGCTTCAGTGAATTTGATTAGATCGATCGCCATACTTACCTTCCCATTTCTGAACATAATTGCACATCGGTCGCCACCGCACCACTTTGGTGAAACTCTAGTGTTCCTCCTGGAATTAAAAAAAAAGATTATTGACGGTGAAATCATTATTTTGGTAAGTATGTATTGAACGTGATCGACAGGCTTACAATAAAATAGTAAAATGAAATTGTAAAATAATCACATCATGAAGGAGTTGAATGAAATACATTACACAGATCATCAAATGCATGGCTACGAATTTTATTTTAAATTCAACAGACACCCTCCCTTTTCTTATAATGATCGTTTTGCGCTTTATTTTGTGTATTATATTCCGAACGAATGAAATATTTTGAATGCATTTTCTTTCAAGTAATGCAGGCACCTCTCGCCAATGCTCAATATGTGTGTATTTCTAGTTTTAATCTACTTGGGCGCTAATCATAACAAAGACGTGAACGTTTAAACTGATGGTCAGAGAAAAGGAAAACTTTATTTCTAGTATTGAGCATATCAATATGATAGTGGATCTACTTATATAACTTAGACTTTATTAATTAAATATCGCGGGTGATATCTGGCCGGTGTCTAGTATTATAAACAATACCCCTCCCCCCTCCACATAATGTTAATGTCAACACGTCATAAACGATACGGGCAAATGATTGTGTTCTATTTCCGATTTAACACATTATTAGTTTTGTAATAATAATAATAATAATAATAGCTCACATTTATAATGCGCCTAATACTAAGTAGATGATGACAGCATATCAGGAGTAGATGAAATCTTATTATGCAATTATTGTTTAAAGGCCGTGTAGTTAAGCAAATAATGGTTGAATGCCATTTACGTCTCCTTTTATGACAACTGCACGTAAACGAATGGACTTGATTAACGGTAGTCAGCGACTTAATCTCTACATAGTCAGCGTTGGCAAAACAGACCGAAGTTCTCCTCATGCTTCGGTTTCGCGTATGTTACACCCACATGATTGCTGCGGTCGCGTCGTCCGTAGTCGTATTCAAGCGCGGATTCATGGGGGAGGGGGGGGGGGGGGAAGGCCCGCCCCACTGGCAACAACAAAAACAGGTTTAAAAAAGAAGAAGATGGTAACGTTAATTTTACCATTTTTAGACAAAAAATGAAAATGGGCCCCTCCCCCTGCAAAAAAAAAGTATTTTGAGGTTGTTGTTTGTTTTGGTCAAGGGGTGGGTATGGGTGTTGAAAAAAGAGTGCTTACCCCCCCCCCCCCCCCCCCAAGATATGGCAGGTTTTCTGCGACACTTTTCCCAGCGGTTTCACGTAAACAACGTGTTTATTCAACAGAGAAGCAATTAGGTCAACACAAAACGAAGTCATGAGATAATTGCACCGCTCCTCACCGCCTGACTATTTTTCAATACAACACCCAAAATATCAAGACCCAGAGTCCCAGACCATGTCGGCTTAATCAAAACAGACGTACCATGGCCAGTCACGGACAAAAGTATATTGACTTTATTGAGTCCATGATATAGTTCAGATAAAGTTCAAACTGTAAGCATGCGTGACCACATGTTTGTTTACAGACACCCCATCAACAAGGTTTCTGAAGCCAAAATACACTCTAAATGAGGATTTCGCGTGTTTTTTCACAAGAAATCACACCCTAAACGGGTATTTCAATTTACAAAAAGGACACAATATTCAATGAACAGTTATTATTCTACTATGCAAAACAAAATATAAGGGACCAGCTATAGACGTGAGACTTCTTGGCCGGTAACGTGGGCATCCATCTTGATCTACTGAAGACCTAAAGACCGGTAAGCGCAGGCGGCGGCCGGTAGTCTCGCCAATGGAAATTATTATTCCCTTTTCCCTCCCCGGTCTAGCCCTGAGGGCTAGAAAAAATACCCCTAAATGCGTATACCGGCGCGTACAGCAGAATTTTGAACCATTTTGAAAAAGTACCCTTTTTCTTGAGAATGGCCCGAAAATGGAAGTATTTGAACCCCTTAATGCGGCACTACGCGGACCGCGTCCAATCTATAAAAAACACCCCTTTATTCGCGTTTTATTGTTCACGCATGCTTTAGTTATATTTGACTGGGACCAGCGCTCAAAATACACGGGGCGGTGGGCGATTCGCCCCCGTGAGCTACATAATCGCCCCCGTCAGGTTGCTCACGGGGGCGATTGCAAAGACGATTCGTTGTACCGTTCTCGACTCCTTTTCCCTTTTTCTTTCTACGTCCTCTTCCTTTTTTTCTTCTCTTTCTCTCTCTTTTTTTTTTTGGCCGGCGTTTTTTTTTTTTTTTGGGGGGGGGGGGGGCGACCGCCCCCACCGCCCCCCTGGCTACGCGCCTGGCCACTGTGTTGTAAGATCTCTTTCAGATTAGGAGAAGTGTATTCTTTAATGAGTATTTTACATTGAATGGAACGTCTCAACTCAGTAAGCATGGCTGAGATTTGTAAAAGTTGTTTTTACAAAGAAGATTCGGGTGAATAGCAGTGCTTATTCAAACAAATATTCGCATCAATTTGAATCACAATCATTATTTGTCGCTTAATCCCTTTTAATGACCTTGTTTTCTTTCTCGTTTGCAAGGGGAGAAGAAAATATGTCACGTTAAAGACATCATAAAGATCAGTGTTGTATGCGTATATATTGTATACACAAGCCAGTAACAGCTATGTAGCTTGTAAATTTGTAAGAGGGAAAATGCTGATTGAAATGATAATGATGAAATAGCAAATAATTGAGGAGTATCATAGGTACCAATTCAATGGATATTTGTATAAAAAAGAGCCTCCGTCAGTACTAAAAGAGCCCCCGTGAAAAGGCTCACGGGGGCTCTTTTTTTTTAGGGGAAGAGCCCCCGTGGACAAAAAATCAATTTGAGCCCTAACTGGGACCCCCGGAATCACAGTTTGTACAAAGTCTTCAGTAGGTTGACTGTGAGGCTATATCAACTGGAAAAGATTGTATTCTTCGGCAAATAAAAAAGGCTCTTGAAAATAAGTTCGCCAATATCTCGAGTGGTCTCCAGAACGAATGAACAACCTCGAATTTTATTTCTCTACTGCTAAATAGCCTACACACCATTAAATAATGGTATATCAGTTTCACAAAAAGTGTACAGTTAATAAACTCACCAGTGACAGATAGCGAACATCCTAGTAGGAGAAGGGTGACGAAGTGAGTCAAATGCCAAGCCATTTTAGATCCCGATTATCATAGCCTCACAGAGGACAACCAAACTTGTGCGAAATATGAGAACCGAACACTGCGGCCAACTTCGGCAGTGATAAATGGAACCGAATGCATGATGAAAGAAGCTCAGAATACTGTAAACAGACCAGTGACCTTCGTAGTAGGTCCAAAAACAGACATCGTAGTACTACGTGTACTACTTTTAAGAGATAACGATAAATGCCATGATAAAGATGGATGCATGTTCCATTCGATATTACATTCATATATCTCATTTGTACCCTTATTCTGATTAAATCTCATTGTTGCAAAAAAGTTCATCTGACTGATCTGAGCAATGCCGGGCCCGACCAAATAGATTTTTAATGTACAATATGACGCTGTAATCATATCCGTAAATATTATAACATGTTGATTTCTTTTAATTTAATGCTTACAAAAGCTCGAGCTGTCACCGAATTGAAAACTGTCTTTTGTCTGTGATTCCTGATCAAGGATCTGTCTTAAATGTATCACCATGAAAATGCAGTTTAGCTAATTATATCTCAAGGCATATAAAAAAAACCATGTCATATATACCTGTGTGTTTGGTTTGTATTTATTTGGAAAACTTCATTCTCATGGTACATGAATATTTAAGTTGTTCGAAAATTAAGTCTAATACCAATATGAAAAGTCACGTGAAGGATACGTGGAAACAATGAAAATAATTGAATTTGTACGTGACATACATGTATTATTTCAAAGAACGTGAATGAGAAGCCATTGCATAATAACCCGCTGCTTATCATAAAGAGGTAATTATGTATAGTGCAAATATTACTACAATAACATATTCTACGCTTTGGTGCAAATGCCATAGAAAATGTGTGCATTTCGGGCATACCAAACAATCTAGGCTTAATATGTTAAAATTAATACTTTGAATACACCCTTCAATATCTTCATCAATGTTCGTCTTCAATGAACGTATGTTAGATACAACGTCTAAGGCGTCAAAATATGCTTTACCTTTGAGTGTACTTTACCTATAGTGGGAGTCTACGGTATAACAGAAATATGTTACTTTCACTGCTATGATGTCTCTTTCATGATAATCAATAATACTAATAAAACGGTGCTTATAAAGCGCTTTCAACCGAAGTCTCTATAAGCGCTATAACAAAAAATATACAATGACAAACAATGATATATTAAACCAAAAAATACAAATAAACCTTCAAAATACAATACATTTGAACTATACATCGATGTGAACAAAGTAAGTTATTCATCAAAAGCAATTTTGAATAAATGTGTCTATAAAAGACAAGTTTTGATTTGGTTGACAGCCTGACAGTTTGTGACATGCGAAGGGGGTTTGTTCAGCAGAAGCTTTGCAAAAAGAGCGATGACTGTAAAGACGATTTGACAACAAGTAAACACGAAATGTAATGAGGCTTGTATTCCTGGATTATATCTAAACTTGTATTGTGTAGGTCCCAGTTAATAGGTTTTGAATATAAATTAGGGTATGTGAATTAAAATATTTACAAAAGCATATGACTACAAGGCATATGAAGCTGAGCGACAATTTAAAAAAAAATAATCATCGATCATGGAGATACGAGGGGCCCTGATTCGTTTGAAATCGTGAGCAATGCTTTAAGCCGACCCCGACTCTCATTACTTTCATATGGAAATGTGTCTCAAGTGGATGTAATGCCCCCAGCTATCTATCCCGAATGGAATACGTTAATTTAAAAGTGGAATGAATAATCTAACTTCCATCAAATTGTCAGAAAGTCAATTTTAAACGTTGTCATCTCCCTTGGCCCCTTAGCATACTACCATCTTCAGGTTGTCTCTCAATGCATTTTTCCACATGATGTACGTGTACCTAGCTTTCCTTGTATGGGATTTGAATCATTTATCATGTTTGTGAAAGTGAAAGGTCAAGTTCGACCGATAATGATAATAATGAAAAGAGGGAAAGGGGAGAGAAAAAAAACAGTCGGATAACAATTTTAAAAGACGGAGAGAGATAGAGTGAGGGAGATGAATATAGAGAGAGAGGGGGGAGAGGGGAGAGAGAGAGAGAGAGAGAGAGAGAAGGAGAGAGAGAGGAAGAAACGGGAAAGGAGAGAGAGAGAGAGAGGGGGAGGGAGGGAGAGAGAGAGAGAGAGAGAGAGAGAGAGAGAGAAAGAGAGAGAGAGAGAGAGAGAGAGAGAGAGAGAGAGAGAGAGAGTGAGAGAGAGGTGAGGGGGGATGGGAATAATTTTGATTCTCCCGGATGAAAGACGATTAACGGATCATAATTGCCACAGAGTTTAGCCAACTTGGTTTCAGATGGTCACAACATGGCATAATATTCTTTCGGATTAAGATGTTATCGCCCATAACAGCAATATATTCGCCATATTGTGTCCAACGTGAACCGGGTTGGCCAAACTCTCCCAAACTCGCCCAACTCTCCCAACCAATGGGGTCGTGGTCGAGTAGATATGTCACCGGACTGTGGATCACAAGGTCCGCGGATCAAGCCCCACCGCGGCACTAATGTCCTTTGGCAAGACAATGATCTACATTTGCAACTCTCCACCCAGGTGTCAAATGGGCACCGGCAGGATGCGAAAGTTAATGTGGTTGGATCAGCAAGTGGCGCTTATAAAATGGCGACTGACTGGAATGATCTCCGGGGAGTGGAAAATGTGCATATATTGTTTTGTGGGTAAGCCTGAATCCGATGACCGGGGTAATAATATGTGCTGCGCCTACAAACAAAGTATTAGGCGCATTATGAATGTGAGCTATAATTATTAATAATGGTTCTGTCAAGGTCAAGAGATTCGATCAGATGTAAACTATGCCCTGTAAAAAATAAAGCTGTACTAATATAGTCAGGGAGCAAGCATGAATACGAACTCAAGACAAACATAGAAAAGGAAATATTGTATAAATTACAATAAAAATAAAACAAAAATCACTTACAACATCATTCTATCAATGATCAGTGGCATATAGCTACTGGGACATTTGGCACCAGCCCGGCCCCCATTAAATAGCAGCAAAAATATTGAAAATATAAAAATGTCATTAATGATAGACAACATTACCAGCATTACCATGGATATTGTTCCTAACAAAATAAAACCTGGATGAGTTTTTGATATAGACTGAACTGGAGTTACATACAGATTCACTTTTCTGTTTATTTTAATAATCCGTTCATCATAACTAACGAGTGTGCTAAATGCAGATTTCGTCAGTTTTTCGTATACTTTACATTACAGGCACAAAGTTATGGTTGGAGAATTCCTCTCGCAAGACTTCTATTTCTTTAACAATGACAACAAAGAATGATTGCATATATTAATGCATTTGCCTGCTCAATAAGATCAAGGAGATTATCCAAAGGTTTAGAGAAGAAACCTTGTGTAGACTTGACGACGTTGACCGACTATACCCCGCTGCTTTTCCTCCCTTCCTTGGGTCCGAGTAAGCTGCTATTCCTTCAGGAGTTCGTAAAATCCCCTGAACAACCCCGAAGCTAGACGAGGTTGCCACCACATGGCCCCGGTCCTGAAGGGCCGTCACTATGTTCTGTCCCATGGAAGAAAGGATCAAATGAATCAGTGGTAATAGAATTAGGAAGTTTTAAAAGGGGAGTAACAGTTTATGACGTCATTCTGCCTCAGATTTAACAATTGAAAGGTAGTCGAATTTATTAAAAGAACACCCATTATTTCCTTCATCTCTGAAGGCCTTTTTAAATCATCATCTATTATAATACACATCGCCCCAAACGTCACTAAAGAAGTTAGATTTTTCCATGTATTATTTGTACAAATCAATATTAATTTTTCTGTGGTTTAAAAAAAAAGAGATTAAGATTTGTTTTGCAATAATGTTCTCTTTTATTAATTTCTCTACTATTTTCCCTTGGACACTTACCTGAGAGAAACCCCCTTCGATGTAGGCTATGTTTGTTAGAAGATGATTGTGAATACGTGGCTCATCGATGGCTTCGTCCAGGGAGACATTCATTATCAAAGTTCGGAGGATGACCTGCGAGAAAAAAGCGACATTGATTACCCTTGTCTTGTTCTGCATACGATTATTTGCCGCATTTGGGGAGGCATGGGGCATAGCAGTGCTCCGCCTAAAAAGCAAAAGTGGTTCGGGTTATGGGAGTTTCATAACATTTTCTTCCCTAACACAATTAGCCGTGCTTTCACACTAAACTTTATAACATTAAGTAGGATGATCGCTCTCATTTTGCTTGAAAATTAATGTATGGTCTTTGTGCTAAGCGCGTTGCACATCTCGATAGGTTCATGCGATCAGTACTCCGTAACCTACGATCAGTGTTAGACAACTTCATGAATCAGGACTGTATAATTTGGAAATCCATGACGATATGACGATTCCTATCAAACTAACCGCTACATCCAAATTACTTAAAGCTTATCTGTGCTATTTTATAGATGGGATTAGACCGCCTTGTAAGGTAACTGGACAGGTTGTTATCTCATTAACTCAGCTCGCAATTAACATAAGAAAAAGAGGATCATGAGGGACCAATGGTCACCGATTAGGCATTGTTGTCTATATAGAGGGAGCAAATAGCTACAAGTAGGACAATGTGGCTTAAAGCTCAGCAGAAGAATATGCAAGCTGCCCGGCCGTGTTTAACTTTTCTGTTATCATGGAAACTGTAATGTTTAAAATAATAGGTTTAAATTTTCTTCTTCCAGTTAATATAACGCGCGAGGATCTTACCCATGCGACGGAGGTAGGAATACGGAAACCTCCCGACGCGCCGATGACCATCTTTACATCCCCTTCGGTACCGATGACGATGGTTGGTCCCATGGTCGATAGAGGGCGTTTGCCAGGTGATAGCTGGTTAGCTGGCAGGGTCCAGGTTTGATACTTGGTGTCGAAGTAGAAGTTTCGTAGATGATTGTTGAGAATGATACCAGTCGACATGGATGCATCTTTGCATCCGAAACTGAAAGAAGACCCGCAAACCATACATTATTTTTCAAGCATAATGAGAGCGATCATCATACTTAATGTAATAAAGTTCAGTGTGAAAGCACGGCTAAATATGTTCAGGAAAAACAATGTTATAAAACTCCCAAAGCCCGAACCACTTTTGATTTGTAGGCGGAGCTTAGCCCAAAATGACCGTCTCGCAAGAGCAATGTTTTATCAGGACAAAAAATATATACATGAGTTTCATCAGTCTTCCCCTTAAATGGAGGCGACTATCAGAACCAAATGTAGTATACGTGGAACACCAGTATGTTATCTTGTGGAGAAAAATCTTTTGGTCAAGACGGAGTCTGAAATTTTTTTATTCGATTACTTCATAATACATTAACTTGTTGTGTTTGTTTGTTCTATACTTACTAATAACCAATCGATGTCGTCACAGCTACCGCGTCACCATTCGACGCTAGAACACTGATGTGACTCGTATCACCCACATCCGGGTCTGTACCAATGCTATTACCCGCCTGCACAGTTACATCCTGGTCAATGACGTAATCATGTGATGATGTAGAGTACACGTTAGGGAGTGCTTCTGTGATCAATTCTCGGACGTATCTACTGAACTCAGGTGAGCGTAGATCCTGCAGAGTCTAAAAGATATCCACACAACTTACTTTCTTTTTAATAATGCAGATTTTAAATTTTAAAGTTTAAAGAAGTTCTTCAATGATAAAGCGATTTTGACTGTAATGAAACTGTTTATTTCGGTACAATGAGGGCATGACAATTTCAAATATCTACACCAATACAATTTGTCCTATATTCAAAATATTCTTTTCCACATTTCTTTTCCTTCATGATAGAAAGAAGTCTTAGAGATCAATATGTCAGGTTTATTACCCTTTATGTTTTGTGGACAAGTCTTAAGATACAGAATTTGATAGTTTAGTCTTGAAAGACGACGCTATTGTTAGTGGAAGATCCTACAATCAGTGATCCCAAACTTTCTAAATTCAAACTTTCTTACTCTATATCAAATTTATCTCCATCTTTCTCAGACACGTTCATCATGCTTTCGTTTGTATCCAATGTTAAAAGATAATTATTATTATGTGGTGTTCTTTAAACAAATATAAAAGAACTATACCATGTGAAGCGTGTCCTACCTTTTCAACCTCTTCAGACCTCGTATCACCCAGCTTTGTCCTGAGACCAAAGGCTACTTTACATACTTCAATAAACTTATGATACAAGAGGATCCTCTGATCCGATGTCATATCATCCGAGGTAGGCAGACCGAAACCTGAAACCAAACAAAGCAAATGCATTATTATTTCAACGACATGCCATTAGCGGTTCTTGAAAGGGGCTTTGGGGAGGGGGGAAGGGAGCTCAAATTCTCGCCCACAACCCCACGCCCAAACACAAACAAAAAACTTCTAGGAAGTGTTTTACAAAGACTAAGATCGACTTTGAGTTGGACTTAACTACGGCAGGCCATTCATACCGCTGTTTGCTCTCACCATTGGTGTCTCAATTATGATCTTAATATAATATTTTTTCCTTCAATAATGAACTATAAATAAAAAATAAAAAAATGATTTGTACGGGTACTAGTGGCATAAATGGCCTGCCATAGTAAAGTCCAACTTAAAGTCGATCTTAGTCTTTGTGAAACACTCCCCTGTTCTCTCTCTCTAAATTTCCTTGATTAGGAATGCACTTAAAGGTACTATGTCCCATATGCAGGCCAAGCAAATAAAAGGTTAAATTCCAACGGCATTTGAAAGAAAATACTAATTTTGATCTTCCCTCAAAATGAAAGGGCTTGAATATATCTTTTAGTTGGAAAATAAAGACCATTTGTTGTCGAATCGACTTTAGTGACTGCAAGCACTAAAGCAATAGTCTGATTTTCAGACCATTGTACCGAATGGTATACGTGTTGTGCTGCGCAAAGATTCAATCAGTTTAATTTTTACCATTAAAAGAATTGAATTATTGATGTAGACAAATGCTCATGTACCCTTTACAGCTCATTTTATGTATGTTATTACCAAAACAAAAAAAAAGTCAGCCAGTCACTCAATAGTGTCTGACAGTGAAGTCCAGAAAGTAAAAGGGTTTCCCTGTATAATTTGAATATTAGGACAGATAGGACATACGAGAGATATTCATAATTCCTGCAAAGTTCTACAGAATATGATGCTGGCTGAAAAAGGGATACTACCTTCAAAGAGTGCCAATTAAGCTTAAAGAACTCCATAGGTATATTTAGACAATAGGAAACAAGAATGAAATAGCAAGGCATCTAGAGCTTGCTAAGAGAAGGGCCGAAACCTTGAATGATTTCAACGTTGCAAGTAGGCTAGCTATAGCTAGGGGGACATCTTTCGCCGACCCTGGCCGGTGTGTCATGTTTGTTCGAGCCGGACATGTACAAGGCCATTAAAAAATATACATGTTTAGCGTCCCCGCCCGCTTTCTTTTTGGGGGCCGCCTCCTATTTTTTTTTTGTTGTTGTTGAAATTTTTGATTTAAAAAAAAAAAAAAAAGAAAATCAACATGAAAAACACTGCTAAAAGGGATCTATATCTGATTAAAAAAATTTTTTTTTAAAAATGTCGGCCGCCATCTTGAAAAATAACCCGAATGTCGGGGAAAATGTACCGAGCGGCCATTTTGAGCGGCCATTTTGAAAAAAAGAAGAAGAAAAGGGCCTCCTCCTTCCTATTTTTCGAAAAAACAGGACGCTAAACATGTTTTTTTTTTATTTGGCCCAACAAGGTTAATATCATAGCTTAATGAAATGGGGGAGGGGGTTGATAGGGAGATTGAGCACCGACATTAGGACGTTTCAACAGTAGCATCAGATCTCGATTGAAAACAGCATTGCTTGGGCTTATCAGTATTAGAAGCTATATCCATCGCATCACTCTGTGAATTCTAATGTTATCTACTATGGTTATATTTATTATGTAATAATATCAATGAGCACAGTACTTTGGAATTGCTAATCAAGTTCCATTATGAACGTTACCTTCCAGTGCCCTCAGCATAAACTGGAAATAGGGGCCGCTAGATGTGAGCTCGGAGCTGTAGATCGTGTAGTCTGGAGACTGAACATCTTGTAGGGTTTCTACCCCTTTCCAGATGGCGGCGTAGTCAGCAAGATCGCCCATGGTCACATTACCACCTGGATAGAGAAATAAGAGAGGAGGACCATTAATCCCATTCTGCTCTGTGATAATTAATAAATGAGCCTTCACCAATACATCTTTCCCTCAACTTCATTAATAATGTTTATATCATGGGGAATGGGCATAAAGCGCCTTTTATTGATACGAACTGACCATAAAGGTACCCGTTCTGTTAAATGAAGAAAAACCTAGACTTCCGACAATGTCCTAGTCCGAACATGCTTTCAAAAATTACATTATTAGGCAAGAATTGCCGCGCGCGGCATTGATTTGGTTATGAGGTCATGCTACAAAACATTTAGAGGTGTACCAGTCGAGTGAAAAATACTTTAATCTCGCAGTAAAAAAATATGATTTACAAACCTGCAAAATTAAAAAAGAAGAAAATCGAAAAGAAATAAATCGAATCAAATCAAATCAATGTTTAATAGATAATGAATCTTGGTTCATCAAAAATTGTCTATGATAATGATGAGTCTTAAATGATAGAGAAAACAAAACATCTTCGCTTTTAATACTTACCGCCATCCTGTATGTCTTGGACGAGCTTAGAACCAGTCGGCCCTTGATAGAATTCATCCACCCCGTTTTCAGCAATCGCTTGAAGAGTGTCGGCTAGCTTTGGATTAGTGATGACGTCACCCTCGATAGCCACACGGTCCTCCTCCGTGTTGTAATATAATTCTCTGTGAAATAAATAGAATAAAAAGAGAAGGGAAGAATGTGTTGTTAGGTAATGAAACGACGTCATACTTGTCCTAGGTATCAGCAATTAATGCATGGAATTTGCATTCTGACTATTGAAATACAATTATACATAACAGGTGAATGAAATAATTTGTAGCACGGCACTTGACAAAGATATGGTATATTTAATATACCCCATCATGTGGGTGTTCATCCCCTTGGTCTTTGATACTCCGAGAGCACGCTAAAGATGAGCTCTTATTGTAAATCCATTCCTTCATATGCCAAATTAAATCGAAACGAGAATTGAACTGGACTATATTGAATTGAACTGAATTGAGCTGAATCGATATGAACAAACATAATATGAGGGTATTCATCCCGTTGGTTGTCAAAACTCCGTGGAGCTTTATGAAGATGAGCTCCTACTGTAAATCAATTCTTTCATATGCTTAAATGAATCCAACTGGAATGAATCGAATTTAATTGAACCAAGTTGAACTGAATTGAAATGAACAAACTTAATATTTAATTGAAATGAAATGAAATAAACTGGACTGAATCCAACTGAATAGAATTTAATTGAACCGAGTTGAACTGAATTGAAATGAACAAACCTGATATGAGGGTATTCATCACATTGGTCGTCAATACTCCGTAGAGCGTTATGAAGATGAGCTCCTACTGTAAAACAATTTTTTATTTTTTTTATTTTATTTATTTATTTATTCATGATTTCTTTCAATAGGGTAGTTTCTTTCTTTCATATGTTTAAATAAATTGAATTGAACTGAATCGAATTCAATTGAACCGAGTTGAACTGAATCGATATCAACAAACCTGATATGAGGGTAGTCATCCCATTGGTCGTCGATACTCCGTAGAGCATTATGAAGATGAGCTCCTACTGTAAATCAATTTTTTTATTTTTTTTATTTATTTATTTATTCATGATTTCTTTCAATAGGGTAGTTTCTTTCTTTCATATGTTTAAATAAATTGAATTGAACTGAATCGAATTCAATTGAACCGAGTTGAACTGAATCGATATCAACAAACCTGATATGAGGGTAGTCATCCCATTGGTCGTCGATACTCCGTAGAGCATTATGAAGATGAGCTCCTACTGTAAACCCATTCCTTGATATACTGATGACAGGTTGGAAGAGCTCAGACCAAGGTAGCTTACCGTATCTCTGATGAGCCTCCCACATACCCCTCACTTCACCCGGGATAGCAACACTCTCCATCCCTACGGGCAATACAAAAATGAAGGTACATTAAAGGGGCTGTAGTATGCCAAATACTGGTTAACGCCATCTACGACTTCTTTTGGACAACTGCACGTAAACGAATGGGCTTGATTAACTGGTTCAGCGCGCTAGCGTTCGCGAAACAGACCGAAGTTCTTCTCTTTTTATTTTTTTAAATTTTAATTTAATTGAACTGAAATTGAACTTTCCGTTGTGCATGATAGAAAACAATATACTTTGCGCCAAACAAAAATCCGGTTTTAAGCGAAAGCATTCGACTATAACATCTTTATTGAAAGTCACTGATTACTGGCTGAAAACAATGGAAGACGGCCTTTATACTTGAGCTGTGTTTATTTGACCTGAAAAGGGCTTTCGACACTGTGGACGTTTATGTACTTGTAACTAAACTACCCAGAGTTGGTATTTCTTAATATCTTTTACCGTTGTTTGAGAGTTATTTATGTAACCGACGGATGTGTACCTGTATTAATTTTGCTACATCAAGAATTGTAAATATATATTATGGAATTCCTCAAGGCTAAACACTTGGCCCAATATCGTTTACTTAATGTATCTATTTCAACAATCATGTGAGAGGAGTTTAAAAAAAAACAGTAAATTGCATCAATATGCAGATGACACCGTAGTGTTTTTTTTATGATAAAAGAGTTAATTATATTGAAGGATTACCAATTTTAATCTACGTAAAATTTACAATCTCGTAATAAACTTAGCATTAATGTTGACAAACCATTTGTATGCTATTTTGGACTGGTGCTAATTCAATAGTCAGAATTTGAATTGCATACATTGAACGGAGTGTAACTGGTTAACGCCATCTACGTCTTCTTTTGGACAACTGCACCTGAACAAATGGACTTGATTAACGGTAGTCAGCTACTTAGTCTCTACATGGTCAGCGCTCGCGAAACAGACCGAAGTTCTCCTCATGCTTCGGTTTCGCGTATGTTGCAGCAGGAAGCTGTAATGAATGGAGATCCCGTCCAAGAGGCCCCTTTGAAGCCATCCGTGGCACCGCGCGTCTTTTGTTTCCCCTGCCGTAATCCCCTTAATCCCTCTCCGAGACCATACAGCTCCCTAGTGGCTCTTAGTCCTCCCGTTCCACCCACAGCCCAGCCCAGCGAGCACGGCGGCTTTTGCTTTGCCGGCCCGTACTCTGGGTGAATAGTAGTGATAACTTGACAACTTCTAGCCCTAAATCAATAAATGCGCAAACATATAACACAATTTCATTTAGTTCTTTAGGAAGATAAACCTTTGGACTACCTTCCTAGCTATGTACAAATTTCGGAAATTTTCGGAAAATGTCAATAATTAGATGAGAAAATCATGATGATGAAAACCTTTCATTCGCTGTAACTCATGATTTCCTTGGTCGATTTCGCTGGTTGAAATGGCCATATCTTCAGTAGAGCTATCCGAGAACGGAAAACGCATTTGATGACTAATAGAAAGTTGCATTAGTGATATGCTGTGAATTCTGCATTTTATATGTTATAGCTAAATACATCTTCACTGAACATGACTTAATTTTTCGGTGCCTCGCATGGCTTCAAAGCTCGATGCTTGCATATATTTGCAAAAGAGTGAATAGAGAACTTAGGGAAGCAGATGGCGTTGCGTAACATTTCGTACTATTTGGAATGCCAGAGAGGAACTGTGCATTGATATGGACAGCTGTTGATGGAAATGATGGCGGGAGAAGGTTACATTTCTCTTTGTTAAGCCAGGTTAATCTTGAATATTTTACCCTCGGAAAATTCTTTCGAGACGGTATCTCCATTCATTACAGCTTCCTGGTTGCAGGCACGCACGTGATTGCTGCGGTTGCGTCGTCCATAATAATCCGTTTTAACATTTATTCCTTTTTCTTGATATCAAGAACTTCTATTGCTTTTCAACAGAAAATCATTTCTTGATATCAAGAAATCGAATTCTCGATATCAAGAATTGAATTCTTGATATCAAGAAATAGGAATAAATGTTAAAACGGCTTGCCATACGTCCTGAGTCGTTATACCTGATTGGCCGCGAGGCCACGGGAAAGACACGTAGTCTCGTCCGGATACACTCCAGTTCATAAATACTATTTACGCATGATCATTCGTTCCCAAATTGTAAAAAAATCGAGACGAATACTGGTATCTTGCTCTTGAAAATTATGTAATCAGTCATTTAAGCACCGACAGTACATTTATCTGATACACAAGTGGAAGTATTCTTCTCAAGAGGCAAACAAAAGGTATACATGAAGCACCTCCATCACCCACTTCGGCAGTGATTATGCTTAAATGCAAGAGTGGGACGTATCCAACGTTTAAAAGATCTGTGGATATTTTGGGGGTACCGAAGCTATTTACGAACTGGCTTATTGTTGCTAGGTAGGACACACATTATGACTTGTCCTGCTTAACAACACATAATGTATGCAATTCGCGTTTTGACTTTTGAAATGCAATTATTCGTAACAGGTGGATGAAATAATTTGTGTCATGGCACTTAACGAAGATTTGTTCTTTACATATTACATTACGAAAATGGCCTGTTACTTACAGGGCCTATCTCACTGAGCGGCGAATACTTGCGAACGTAGCGAATTTGGGGTTCCGCCAGAGTTTGTAAAATGTTGTAAAAGGTTGCAAGAAAGATCGCAAACAGTTTTCTTTGTTGTAAACAGTTTTTCTTGTCGCAAAGAAATTTTGAACATGTTCAAAATTTCTTTGCGAATTTATTTTTCCGCAAACAGTTGCAGGCGTTTGCAAAACAGTCGTTAGCGTTTGCAAAACAGTCGGAAGCCTTTGCAAACGGTTGTTAAACGGTTTTGCTCTTTGTTTTCGTCAGTTCTCTGTGTTTCGCCAAAGCTAGCGACCACGTTACCATATGGTTCCTTTATAAAATCGACCCATTGAGTACCAGTAGTTAGCAAAAGGTCTGAAACGTTCACAAATAGTGGCAAAGGATTGGCAAATAATTGCTAATCTTCGCAAAAGTTGTCGCTAACATTTGTTTACAGTCGTTAATAGTCGCCAACTGCCTTTCGCAAACACTTTCGGAGACATTCGCTCAAATGTTGCTAATTGTCGCTAAACGTCACTTAATGTCGCTGATTTTCGCCAACATTCGTCAGAAAAGTTGGCGAATCCAAATTCGCAACGTTCGCAAGCATTCGCTGCTCAGTGAGATAGGCCCTTATATAGCCCCATTAGGAAGCATTGCAATATTTGTGTGTATACTAATCGTATGTTTCGGCATGTTTACCTGTCGATTATAGATCAGTGCATATATTGTATTGTATAAGCCTTTGGCTTTGAACTGATGGCAAACATGTCCTTACACGTTGCGAGGTTTCTCGACATATAGCAGCAAGTCATATATTCAGACTGGATTCCGAGTGTTGTAGTTCATTCATTTATAACCGATTCATTTCATATTAGGATATGGGAAATGGAAGAAATAAAAAGAATCTTATATACATATCTGCTCCAAAACTAATTTCCGTTGTCAACGTGGCTAATGTCTCAATGCATGTGACACTTTATATTTGCTTACCGTATTTAGCACCGTCAGGACCTTGGTCATTAAACATCTCTGGATAGGTAGCAGCATGTGCTGTCTCCTGAGCATCCAGAAACTCTACCATGCCGCTAGCTCGGGTGTAGATCACCATGAAGAACCCGCCACTAATCCCGGAACTCTGACCATTGACCACACCTACACATAACATACTGGTAATGGCACTGTCTACAGCAGAACCACCCCTCTCAAGAATATCTCTGGGGGAGGGGGGGGGGGGGGGTAGGGGGAGAACAAATGGAAGAGTGAAAGGAAGGAACATTGGAAGAAAATAGAGAGAGAGAGAGAGAGAGAACGAATGGAAACGTGAAATGAGGTTACATTGGGAGAAAACATAGAGAGGAAGAGAGAGAGAGAGAGGGAGAGAGAGAGAGAGAAAGAGAGAGAAGGAGACCGAATGGAAACGTGAAAGGAAGGTACATTGGGAGAAAACATAGAGAGGGAGAGAGAAGAAGAATAGAGAGAGGGGGAGAGAGAGAGAGTGAGAGAGAGAGAGAGAGAGAGACCGAATGGAAACGTGAAAGGAAGTGACATTGGTTGGAAGAAGGAGAATAATAATAATAATAATAATAATAATATGTAGCTTTTATATTGCGCTTAATACAAATGTCTCTTAGCGCTTTACAAATATAATATTAGAGAGAGAGAGAGAAAGCGCACAAAGAGAGAAATGAAGGAAAGGAAAAGAACATTATTTAAAAACGACATGTAGGAGAATGAACATTAGATAAGGTGAATAGAAACGTTCCTTGAGAATCAAAAGAAAAACAGAACAAAACAAGAAACCGTGAAATCGATGAAAAAAAAAAATGATGGAAGTATAGAACCTAAAATGATTTATGAAAGTAATTACAATTTCGGAGATTTGATCGACTGATCGTCGCACAGTGGGCCAGGGAGGAACCAAAGTGCGCCAAAACTCATGTTTGGGGATTTATTTTTTATAAATCCAGAGGAAATGTTTGGATTTCCAGGGATTTTCGCTTAAAACTTATTACCAACATTTTCTCGGATGTCTAAGCTTTAAGTTGATACCAGATTCGGCTGCCCGATATTGCCCGTTATTATGTAAGAGCCGTTTTCCTAGCAATATTGCCCCGAAAAAATGTGTTTATTTTGGTCCGCGGTGTCAGAACAAGTGTCACACGCCCCCTCGCACCGTGGTTTATGACCACGAATCCTTCATGATTCAGCCGCGGACCAAAAAAAACCCCACATTTTGGGGGGCAATGTGGCAAGGGAAATAGGCTCTAACATAACAACGGGCAAGATCGGGCAGCCAAATTTCGTACTTGAAGCTTAGACATCAGAAAAAATGGTGGTATTAAAATTTAAGCGGTACACCGCGGAGATCTAAACATTTCTTCCGGATTTATAAAAAAACATGGATAATTAGTCTATTTTTCAGTGAATTACCCTATAATATATCATGAAGATTGTGTTTCTATTAATTTTAGCCCATTCATTCAACGAAATGAACTATCAGGAATATGTGAGGGCAATTTCATATCAATAACTTAAAAACTTCATGTTGAATTGAAAGATTTATAAAATAAGTCACTTTTGCACTAAAACTGTGAATATGTAGGATTTTGCTGTTTGAAGTAGTAAATTTATACCCTTATTGTGCATACCGGATATTTCACTGAGGTATTCCTCTATGTATTACCTCTCAACTGGGCAAGAAAAAAATTGAAAAAAAATCAATCACCCAAACTTAATTTTGGCGCACTTTGGTTCCTCCCTGGCCCACTGTGCGTCGGTGCTTGATGCCAATATTCGAAGTTTATTCTTCCATGCAGGTGTGTTCATTTTGAATTGGGGGGGGGGGGGGTGGAAATAAAAAGAAAATAAGAGTACTTTGCATTTTGCAGTATAAGAACTTTGCATTCTAGCTTCAGTGAATTTGATTAGATCGATCGCCAAACTTACCTTCCCATTTCTGAACATAATTGCACATCGGTCGCCACCGCACCACTTTGGTGAAACTCTAGCGTTCCTCCTGTTATTTAAAAAAAAAAAAAAAAATTGACGGTGAAATCATTATTTTGGAAAATATGTATTGAACGTGATCGACAGACTTACAATCATAATACTGAAGAAGAAAAAACTATAAACGGCAATAGTGGTACAATAATCACATCATGAAGGGGTTGTATGAAATACATTACACAGATCATCAAATGCATGGCTACGAATTTTATTTCAAATTCAACAGACACCCTCCCTTTTCTTATAATGATCTTTTTGCGCTTTATTTTGTGTATTATATTACGAACGAATGAAATTTTTTGAATGCATTTTATTTCAAGTAATGCAGGCACATCTCGCCAATACTCAATATTTGTGAATCTCTAGTTTTAATCTACTTGGGCGCTAATCGTCACAAAGACGTGAACGTTTGAACTGATGGCTAGAGAAAAGGAAAACTTTATTTCTAGTATTAAGCATAGAAATAAGATAGTGGATCTGCTTATATAACTTAGACTTTATTAATTAAACATCACGGGTGATATCTGGCCGGTGTCTAGTATTATAAACAATACCCCCCCCCCCCCCTCCACATAATGTTAATGTCAACACGTCATAAACGATACGGGCAAATGATTGTGTTCTATTTCAGATTTAACACATTATTAGTTATTAAAGACAGCATATCAGGAGTAGATGAAATCTTATTATGCAAGTATTGGTTTAAAGGCCGTGTAGTTAAGCAAATAATGGTTCATGCCATTTACGTCTCCTTTTATGACAACTGCACGTACACGAATGGATTTGATTAACGGTAGTCAGCGACTTAATCTCTACATAGTCAGCGTTGGCGAAACAGACCGAAGTTCTCCTCATGCTTCGGTTTCGCGTATGTTGCACCCACATGATTGCTGCGGTCGCGTCGTCTGTAGTCGTATTCAGGCGCGGATTCATGGGGGAGGGGGGGGGGGGGGGGGAAGGCCCGCCCCACTGGCAACAACAAAAACAGGTTTAAAAAAGAAGAAGATGGTAACGTTAATTTTACCATTTTTAGACAAAAAATGAAAATGGGGCCCTCCCTTGCAAAAAAAAAGTATTTTGAGGTTGTTGTTTGTTTTGGTCAAGGGGTGGGGATGGGTGTTGAAAAAAGAGTGCTTACCCCCCCCCCCCCCAATATATGGCAGGTTTTCTGCGACACTTTTCCCAGCGGTTTCACGTAAACAACGTGTTTATTCAACAGAGAAGCAATTAGGTCAACACAAAACGAAGTCATGAGATAATTGCACTGCTCCTCACCGCCTGACTATTTTCAATACAACACCCAAACTAGTATCAAGACCCAGAGTCCAAAACCAAAGTCGGCTTAATCGTGCAAAACAGACGTACCATGGCCAGTCATGGATAAAAGTATATTGACTTTATTGAGTCCATATAGTTCAGATAAAGTTCAAACTGTAAGCATGCGTGACCACATGTTTGTTTACAGACAAGTTCAAGTTCATTTTATTTCCATTTCTCGTATAAAAATACATTTAAAAATACATTATACATATAAGCAAATATATAAATATAAATAATACAAAGAATATGGAGGAGCCAGCAGAGGCCATTGGCCTTTCAAAGGCTGGGCTCCAGTGTCCTCAGATAATAATACAAAGTACAGAGAAAAAAAAAAAAACAAAACAATGGGTAGTAAGTAAATAAACAAATAAGTACAGGCTAATTGAATTAAACATACGATAGGAATTCCTTCATTAAATAGTTCTTGTATTTACGTTTAAATGAGGCAACAGATGGGCACATTTTTATATGGGTAGGTATTGCATTCCAACTAATTACTCCGGAATATTTAACTGATCTACGTGAAGTATGGTATTTTAACAATGGAATATATAAATCATTAGCATGTCTTGTGTAATGAGGATGAACATCCTTTGTTATTTTGAACATATTATCGAAAATAGAAGGTAACATATTCTTATTGTACATATACATAAATGATCGAACTTGCAATTCATGTATTTGAAATATGGTAAGTACATTTAACCCCTAAACGAGGCTTCTGAAGCCAAAATACACTCTAAATGAGGATTTCGCGTGTGTTTTTCTCAAGAAATCACCTTAACGGATATTTCAATTAACAAAAAGTACACAATGTTCAATGAACAGTCATTATTCTACTATGCAAAACAAAATATAAGGGACCAGCTATAGACGTGAGACTTCTTGGCCGGTAACGTGGGCATCCATCTTGATCTGAAGACCTAAAGACCGGCAAGCGCAGGCGGCGGCCGGTAGTCTCGCCAATGGGAATTATTATTCCCTTTTCCCTCCCCAGTCTAGCCCTGAGGGCTTGAAAAAATACCCCTAAATGCGTATACCGGCGCGTACAGCAGGATTTTGAACCATTTTGAAAAAGTACCCTTTTCTTGAGAATGGCCCGAAATGGACGTTTTTGAACACCTTAATTCGGCACTGCACGGGCCGCGCCCAATCTATAACAAAATACCCCCTATTCGCGTTTTATTATTCACGGATTTGACTGAGACCCCCGGAATCACAGTTTGTACAAAGTCTTCGGTAGGTTGACTGTTAGGCTATATCAACTGAAAAAGATTGTATTCTTCGGCAAATAAAAAAAGGCTATCGAAAATAAGTTAGCCAATATCTCGAGTGGTCTCCAGAACAAATGAACAACCTCGAATTTTATTTCTCTACTGCTAAATAGCCAACACACCATTAAATAATGGTATATCAGTTTCACAAAAAGTGTACAGTTAATAAACTCACCAGTGACAGATAGCGAACATCCTAGTATGAGAAGGGTGACGAAGTGAGACAAATGCCAAGCCATTTTAGATCCCGATTATCATACCCTCACAGAGGACAACCAAACTTGTGCGAAATATGAGAACCGAACACTGCAGTCAACTTCGGCAATGATAAATGGAACCGAATGCATGATGAAAGAAGCTCAGAATACTGTAAACAGACCAGTGACCTTCGTAGTAGGTCCATAAACAGACATCGTAGCGGATCCGATTAGAGGGAAGGGGGGGGGGGGTATGGGGGAGGGAAGGGTAACGACAACCTGCCCTCTCATTTTTTGGTGTGGATATGTTCATGTTAACAGCCGAGAGGTAGTCGTAATGATGAAATTTTTTCAGAACAGTTTGATACATTTTTCTTCTGTTGCCAGCAGACCGAGCAGCCCCCCCCCCCCCCCATTTCTGAAACCTAGATTCGGGTAGCCTTTATGATAGGTGTTACTGATCAACATGGAAAAACGATATGAGCTACAAATATTAAAAGCATGAAACAGTAGGCTTTTAATATTGTCAATAGTGTATCCGTGACAAGTTGTAAAGTTCGTGCCAATAAAGTAATTATGCAAATAAGCCCTGTACATGATAACCTTCATTTATACGCCTACTTAAAACAATGTAAATGATTATAGGCCAAAGACCAAACTTTGAAAGAAAACTGGGGTAACATACACGTATACCGAATAAGATATCTTTTCATCGTAACAGATTATACAATGGTGCTGTCACCTGTTTTATTTATTGATGCTTTGCATGACAAAACAATGGGGATGTTTTCTTTCTTCTTTTAGGTCAGTCTTTTTAACGTTGCCAAGACGACAAAACCATGGGATACAAACTAGTTTTCCCTTTTAATCACTCATCTAAAAAAGAAAAAAAAAAATCGATTACAAAGTCCAAAACACATTGCACATTCAAATATTAAAGATATTACAAAAATGAATCCTACCTTTATTCTATTTAAAAAAAACACGTTGAAAAGCTTTTGATGAAATAAAAACATTCGACATTTTACATAAAAAAGGCATGTTGCAATGATAGTTTGTTAAAAAAACATATTGTTCTTGTTTTAACTTTTCCCGCGTCCATAAAGCTTTCTTTTTTCGTGTCTACTTTAAAATCAGTTTATTACACTCAGCTTTCGATAATTACAAACAAAACAATCTTCTACTTGACACGTTTATTTCTAAATTAAAACCATCATAATGCCTTATGGGGGCTTAATGACATCAATGCAGCCTTCGTATGTTCATTGCTCTGTAGGGCCAAGGATTTTCCATTCCATACATGGCCATTTTGTGGAAAACAGTTTTGTAACTGACAATACTACCCTGTTAATATATAAACTACAAATAAATAGATAAGAAACTGAAGAAATGAATATATAGATAGATACATAAACAAACAAATAAAAACTTCTTTTTACTTCATGGGAAGTTACTGAACAAAGTTTTGGTGACAGCCTGAAAGGAGAGTTGTATATTGGTAAAAAATAAAATGTTCTCATATTCAAATATATAAAAACCAAAAATTAAATGACTTCAGCCAAGACAGGATTAGGGGCTAATCACTTTTGTATAAATATAATCTTATATATCAGTTTCTAGTTATACTAGCTAGCAAAAACTTGAAGTCTTTATCAAAATATACTAGAAAAGATACAGACATTGCAAAGAGATGATCTCACTGAACGAATAATATGAGTTTATGGCTGCCCGAATAGGCTTATTGATAATTTCAAAATTCTCGAAGGGAGGGGAGGGGAAGGGGTAGCCCCTTCCAAGCTCCTAATCCAGCTCGAATGCCTATGTGAGCAGATTGATATTAATTTGTTCACATCTGTGTTTATACATCCAAATCTGTGTATATATTTTCCCAGTGTTTGTGATATTCCGTATCCGGACACCTACCCCCTAGACATCCACCCCTGGATAACTACTCCCTAGGACAACTACCCTACGACAACTTCCCCCTAGGGAAACCACCCAGTAGGACGACCACCCCAGGACAAATACCCCCGGACAACTACCCACTAGGAGACCCCTAGGATAGTTGTCGTAGGGGTAGTTGTCCGGGGGTAGTTGTCCTAGGGGGGAGTTGTCCGGGGATAGTTGTCCGGGGTAGTTGTCCCGGGGGTGGGGTGGTCGTCCTAGTTGACTGGGGTGGTTATCTAGGGGGTGTATGTCCAGGGGGTAGGTGTCCTAGAACCCATAGTGATGCATCATGTCCAAGAAAAACGAGCCTTCAACTAAGTACACAATATCCATCGAACCTGCTCCTTTCATAGATTGTAAACTGTCTAGTTATTACTTTCAAGCATAGTTCCTGTCGTAAAAACCATACTGATTAGAGATAGTCAGTGGTTGATGTGACTCTCAAATGTGTTACAGACAGCGTCGTTTTCAAGTAAACTTGGTTTTATCTGTGTAGAGAGTTTATGATCAGGATTTCTGGGCCCCGTTGCCAGCTTAGCGGTAACCACGAGAACTTGTCAGATTTGATTGGAGATTTCTGAAATAAACAGTAACAAAATAACATCAATGTTAAACGAAGTGTTAACATAGGTGCGAGAGAGAAAGAGAGAAAGAGAGAGAGAGAGAGAGAGAGAGAGAGAGGGAGAGGGGAGGAGAGAGAGGGAGAGGGGGGGGGGGGGGAGAGGACAAAGAAGAAGACGAGAAAGAGGCAGAAAGGAAGGAAGAAAGACGATAAGAAAAGGGATAGCCGACTGAGAAGGTTAACTTTTCTATCATATCAATGAGGGGGAAATATGCTGTATTTTGTTAGTCTGCATTAATCGTAACAATCCAATCACATCTTACTTACATGTACACAATGAAACTGATATTTTTTAATAGATAATTAGGACAATTATGTAGTTTTTGTTATTTGTATTTATACTGGTCATGTGGAATTCTCCACTTATCATACATACCTGCCACATGGTTTAATTGTATTTATGTTTGTCATGGCCTAGGTTTAGATCATTCCTGTTTATCGTAATACATCAGATTTGAATTGTTGTTTTGTTGTATTCTGTATTTTTTGTATTATTATGCTATGTTTGTATTCTTTATTATGTATCATTATCATGATATGTAAATGTTATGTACGCTCATACCCCAGAAGGGGGTCACAAGAGTCAATAAATTCTATTCGTATTCTATTTGATTTACTTTCTTATCCGAGCAACACTGAACATTAATATCGTCTCCTAGCTCTATTTCCAGAGAATAAATATGCCATTCATGCTGACTTTGAAATGTTAGGGTGTCTCTTTCTCTACCTTTAGATAATATCTGACAGAGATAAGCCGACAGTGGTGTATGATTGGCAGTTGCTTCTTTGGAACGATCAGCTCAGTCCATGTGACGTCACCACCACTCTGTCTCCTGGTTCCGTTGCAGTTGATGACAGAGTATTTGGTGAATACGTTTACTTCGTTCACTCTGTAATCTATCCTCTGTGTGTACCAATTAAATGCAGAAACATGGAAAGAGATAACATTAGACATCTAAATGGAAAAATTTATTGATTCATAACTTTATTTCGATATGGTGCGTTAAAGCAAAAGATAACAAGCCATAGGTCAAGATACTCGTACATTGTATCATTTGTTTTACAAGAGAGAGGGCGACATTCTGATTATTTGAAGTTGGTATTATTTTGATCATCATTCACTCGGTTTGCAATAATCTGCACACACTGAGCCAAGGGCGGTGAATGAGTGGGGTTGGGAAAGAGGCGATTTTAAAGAAATATAATGCGAAAAAATCCCCTCTAATGTTTACTTTTCATACATTTTTGACACACTTAAACGCTTCAAAATTGCGAGAACACTTTTTTCTTCTTGTTTGTTTGTCAGATATATTTAGTCATGCACCACCCTAAAGCTATTGCACCGACCCTAATGCTGCAAAATCTAACGACAATTTAAGACCTTTGATTTTGAGGGATACTTTAATAGATGATTTCCTCTTTATAAAAGTGACAAAACTATTCATCTCATACATGTCTTACCTGGATCAAATCAATCTCATCTTTGCAATAACCAGGTGAGCACTCAAATCCTATCTTCACAACTGAACTATCGCCCTCACATGGCAAAATATGGGCAGGGAGACGTATTCGAGTCCAAGACTGAGTAGATGATCTAAATGATGACACCTGAGTGATAGAGAAAGAGAGAGAGAGGGAGGGAGGGAGGGAGAGAGATAGAGAGAGAGAGAGAAAGAGAAGAAAAAAAAAGAGAGAGATAGAGAGAGAGAGAGAGAGAGAAGAAAAACAGAGAGAGAGAGAGAGAGATAGGGAAAAGGTGGAAAATTTATGTCATGAATATTTAGATGTGAAAACCAAAAGCCATTGTTTCCAAGTTCTTTGTTTTTAAATTTGTGTGTAAAGTTTCGAAATTTTGAATTGAAGACGTATGACGATGAAGATTACTGGACCAGGTAATTCAGACTTAAAGTCAAACAGTCTGGCCAAAATACATTCATATCCCTATAATAAAAGAACGAACAGAAATGTCTAAATCGAGAGAAGAACGGCAATAGTTTTTTAAAACCCCAGACAGTGCCATGCGCCAACATAAAAACATTTATTTGGACGTTTGCTTGAATGGAAGAGCTGGTAGTGCCTAACACAGTCACTGAAAACCTCACTATTTAGCTTGGCAGTTATTTCGGAATGTTCCTGACATGATTGTCAAATCAAAATGACCTCTCTGCATAGATGGAAACCAAGATAGAGATTTCCGAGTGTCACACTTCCGACTGGCGTATCTAGGTTTGGTGACCTCGCTTATACTCTCTGGGAATTTTTGTTGTTTTCGGTTTCATAATCAATATCATTCGTTATTGTTCTCACTCCTGTGAATTTATCGTTGTTTGGGTTTGTGTCGTAAAGAAAGTGGGGTCAGAATTTACACCAAAACCCCCCCCCCCAAAAAAAAAAATCGAAAAAGCTTTTGAGAAAAAACCTTAGGCAATTTCAACAGCTTGTGTATCACATACGGAAATGTACTATCAATACTACGCAACACTACGCTACAGTACGCCATGACTACGTAATAGTACGTTACCCTACGCCAGTCCGACGAAGCAGTAAAAGCTTGCGCACACAGTTAGCAACCGAACGCAACCGTAAGCAAACCTGTACGCCTGACCTACGCAAACGTACGCAACCCTACGCTTGTTATACGCAAACGTACGCGTAGATACGCGGTTCCTATGCACAGGGTACGTAACCATACGCCATCGTACGCCAGCCTACGCATAACCTACGCAGGGACTACGCCGAAGCAACATTTTTTTCGTGAATACGCAGCCTAATTTCGGCGTAGTCGGTACGCCACACTATACGCAACTCTACGCAGATCCGGTGTGAAAGGGGCTTTAGCGTTAGTTGTCCGAAAGCTTATAGCCAGCAGCAGGTGTCCTAATGGTAGTTGTCCGGAGAAAGTTGTCCGGAATGTGATAGCCAGGAGCAGGTATAGTAGTGGTAGTTGTCCGGGAAAGTTGTCCGGGCGGTTATAGCAAGGAGCAGGTGTCCTAGTGATAGTTGTCCGAGGGGTAGTTGTCTGGGCAGTTATACACAGGAGGAGGTGTCCGGACCCAATCATGAGACCATACTGTTCGAATACAATTGTCTGTGGAATGTAATACATGTTCATATTGAATTTCTCTTTCACGGTTGAAAAAAGAAGAACAAAATGTTTTACCAACATACCTGACTACATGATCTCTGGCTATCTTCAAAGTGCGTTGCTAATGACGTCACATCAATGATTTTGAAAGGTCGTGATGTAACATGTTCTTTTCCGCCCTTCAATTTCAACGTCACTGTGACGTCATTACGAATGTACCCATGGTCGCTGTAAAAGTTCGGTGGGAAAGTGTCCTCGGGTACGTCCAACTCGAAATACTTCACCCACGGAACCCGTCGTGAAAGTTTCCTTTCCTTTCTAGCTGACGTCACATCTAAAAAGAAAAAAAACACCTTGATGATTCATCGCAGTCGGAAAAGGCATACCCTTAAATGAAAAACATCAAGGGCAACCGGATTAGGATAATGATGGATAAGCGTGTCTTAATCGCTTCAGGATGGTTAACATTCTGATGTAATAAGTGTTTCAAGCACAATATTTATATGCTTATGCCCGATTATCGAGGAACTGACATTTCAAGAATTATTAAATCAGTTCTATACCCTTTAACAAAAGGCAGGCAGGGTATTTTAAGCTTACATTATGTAAAAATCAGATTTGTTACCTTTAGATACATTACCTTAAAGCAGGTTTAGCACAGGCAAAATAATATTCAATATGAAAACAAGGACCAATTTATTTTAAAGATAATCACGGTTACAAATGAATGCGTTTTGCATTACTTTAGTCGAGCTTTACTTGGATCGAACGTTTGGATCGAGAGGGAGGGTGAGAGAAAGAGAAAGAAACGAAGAGGGAGAGAGAGAGAGAGAGAGAGAGGCGGGTTGTAGAGAGAGGGTTGTAAATAGAGAGGGAGAGAGAAAGAGAGAAAGAGAGAGAAAGAGAGAGAAAGAGAGAGAGAGAGAGAGAGAGAGAGAGAGAGAGAGAGAGAGAGAGAGAGAGAGAGAGAGAGAGAGAAAGAGAATGTTAAACCTGACCACGAGTATAAAATGGCTTGATACCTATCAGTGTCTTCTTCACGTTGTAATATGACTCCGTTTCCTGATACTTTGTAAAACATTTCTTCCACTCTACGTGAGCTATTCCACAGATCGAGACCACTAAATCTATAGATTAAAGGAATGAAGCAAACAAAATTAATAAAGATATAATATGGTCTACCCAGGATGACATAATCAATATATTAAATAACGCTCTTTCTGAGGGACCTGGTTTTTTTATTTAAAAAAAAAATAATTCTCACGCAAGCATTGCAATTAGGTACCCATGTATTCATGATAACACATCTGGAAAGAGAGGGGCAGATGTAGCAAACATACCTTGGTAACGGATGATAGCACCTACCGAGGCTCGAACTCGGAAAAGAGTCATAAGCCTTCATCAATATACCATGTTACAATTATATAGAGAAGTTTTTAAAACTACTCACACCGACTGGCAGTAACTCTAAATGCATTATTTAAATAGGCTGAATGATTTGGTATCTAAAGCTTTCGCGCATATACTTGCCAGAGTTTCTTTGAAAATTCTGAGAGTAAATGATGTTTGTTGTGTCATTGTCATTAACAGTTTTTTTCCGACGAATAGTGCGTGTAATGGTATAGATGGATCCTCTTGGCGTTACAAAAAACGAAACAAGAAGAGGTATACTGCATCGATGGGTAATAACAAGAAGATAGCCGGCGTGTGTGAATGCTAACTAATACCATGACTAATCAGAAACGAGATCAAGAATCATTTCACTAAGTGCTGCTGTCCTACTCCGACCATTAATATTATTAGCTTGGTGTTAGCAAGAGCGGAAGAGAGTTCGTGGCATCAATAACTTTGAATAATTATGGTAACTACAAGCGTCAATTAACTAATACTGTGTAATCAGGGGTGTGATTGGAGAAAGCAAGTTGGGAGAGGGGTAGTGGGGGGGGGGGGGGGTATTGGTGTCGGTAGAGTGCGTGTCATCGAACCCCTTGAAGAATAGCACACTGCAACACAATAAGAAAATGGTCAACAAAATAGACGATGATATATATATATATTTTATGATTTTACTTCTGCGGTCCAATTCAGGCAAAATATTATTGTAAGTAATGTTGTGAAGGTTTGGCAATGCGAGAAAAACAGATCTAACCCTGTATGTTTAAAAAAAGTGCGTTTATCAATATACACATATTTCATAACATGAAATAGCATCAGAAAACCGCCATATAGTACCGTATTAAAATCAGGACAGTCTTAACATGCAGGACAGTCTTAACATGCAGGACAAAGAAAAACTTTCGATTTTCTAACCATTTTATAATTTACTTTAGTTATTATGCTATATAATATACTACGGGGTCACTGTGTTTGAGGAAATACAGTGACTTGAATCCCAGTAATATCTACATTCAGAAGATTTATAAAAGGGGGGGGGTGGACAATCAGAAGATTGAGGTATTTCTGTTTGATTTATCTAATAGGGGTCCTATTCGGGTTTTGATATGATTGATTTTCATTTTTGCTTATACCCTCAACCAAAGTAAAATTAATGTCAATTATATTTGTATCACAATCAAGGTAAATAATATAACTTCATAGTTTAATGCGAGCAACATTCAGGCACAGTACTGTAATGTAATTTTAGAGAAAGGAAGTTTTAAAAATCAAACAGAATATCACTATATTTAGCTATTTAATCACCTTGTAATCTGATAATTTCAAGTCATCGCATTCACCTAACATATCGCAAGTAATTATATGCAGATTACGATATCGGAAAGCTTTTGTTATTACTAAGGATTAATGTCAATTCCCTTCGACGAGGCTTTCCTGTTTATGTAAAAATTCTATGAAATGTATCACAATACAGATCTTTTATTCCTTTTCAAACTTTTGTTTTAGAATTAGTCTATTAAGACTTTTTTCCATCGCATTAATCACACGAAACCAATATGGTCATATAAAAGTACACGTTTCTTTAATAACCGATTTCAATATGAGAGGATATTTTTCTCAGTAAAGAAGCATAGTCGGTTTAGAAGCATGATATGAGAGTGTAATACATGTCAACGAGACGTGCCTTGTAACAATAAAGGTTCGTATAGGGCTTTTACCATAGTATGTGCTACACTAGACATCATGCATACTCCATGATATCAAATTGCTATCTTGTCAATAAAGATATTGATTTTCTTAAATTTCCATCGTAAATGCCCAACCCTTTAGATAATATTGAAAATAAGTGAGCTCCAAAATAGAGGGAAATGAACGATGGATGGAAATCTTATGGCTGCATGTTATAAAGAATATTTTTAAAAATCCTTCCGAACGTACCAAAAGATAATTATGACAGCACTGTTTGTTACAGTTTCAACAGCACAACATCCTCAATACAGCTATTACGCATGTTAAGCAGAAAACTGTATAGTTCATGAAGATAAATAAGTATCGGGGATTTCCCGAGAGGCCTATAGTTACAGTTGATCTGTGCAATCTGCATTCTGACCATTACATTCAATTAAAAGAAAGAATGAAAAAATGATTGTAATATAATATATAAATGTAAGAACGTGTCCTCACGCACTTTGAGAATAACGTTATCAGTACAAGGTCTATACAGTTCTTGGCAAGATGTTGATCATGAAATTGCATAGAACTGTCGCCGAGATTAAAGGAAAAGTTGTGAGGATTAAAGAAAAAGGCACTATGAACATGACTGACAAAGCAAGCGGACAAAATATACAGCTCCTCAGGTAGACAAAAGAAGATCCCTTCACTGCTATTATGTAAAAATGTGTAGAACAGGTGTCACATGCATATTCACCTTTTTACATAATGGCAGTGAAGGGATGTTCCTTTGTCTACCTGACGAACTGTATATTTTGTCCGCTTTCTTTGTCTGTCATGTTCATAGTGAGGATAACACATGTTATGCACGACTCTTTTGATGGTCCGAAAGCTTGCCTGACATAACAACATTTAATCCATGCATATTGCTTTCTTCACCTTTAGCATACTTAGCTATAGTGGATGGAATAGTCAGGTATACAGATGCATTCGTGTCACTAGGTGAATTACATAATGTTGTTAGGTAGGACAAGCCATAATGCTTGCCCTACCTAGCAACAAATAATGTATGCAATTTGAAGTCTGACTATTGAGATACATTTATTCGTAACAAGTGAATTAAAGAATTCATAACGAGGCGCTTCACAAAGGCATAATGAATACATTTGGTTACATTAAGAAAATAGGCCTCTTCATTTGTAAACTGGCATCACTTCATTGACCAAGATGGATGCTTGGCACTTATTTGAAAACTGTTTGTACAGTGATGTAGTCTTCATCATACCTTCGATGACTTCATCCTTGCTAGATTGTATGATCACCTCTCCGCTGATGACATCGCCTACGACGTAGGTCTCTCGACCAGCCGTCAAATTTATTCCAAATAATTCCATCTTAACGTTTCACAATTCAGCAATCAACGTCTGCTAGTGGCAAAAAGAACACGTGTGCGCTCGGTGAAGATCAAATCAAGTCGTTTTTTAGCGCAGACGATTGAGTGGTTGATGATCGAGGCATTGTGTATAATTACAAATTCCAAGCTAATGAAAGATGTTAGTAACTTCAATCTCAAAGAGCGTTCCAGGTGCCTGGTAGCTCAAGTCACGTAATATTTTAGAATAAGTAGCATTTCAGTCTTTTCAGATGTGAAATGATTGCAATAGTGAAGAGACTGCACGGTGGTAATGAGTTCACAAATCGTATAAACAATCTCGCTCAAAGATCATCACAAAACAATGGCGGTGAATTATGATGGTGGTTCCAGTAATTTATAGAGGAATTAATATGTTTATGGCCGATAATATCTCACCAACTCTGACAAAAGCAGAGGCGGATTAAGGATTCTTAGGCAAGGTGGGGGGGGGGGGGGGGCTCTTAGAAATTGTCCGACTAGCAAGCAAACAAGGAGTGTGATCCGGAGAGAGAGGCACGTGGAGCCGTACGTAGAGGGGTGTATCTTAAAGCCCATCCCAACAAAGTGCGCCACAATGTGTTACGAAGTGCACTATATTGGAAAGGGGCGTATCCTCATGCCCCCTCCCAGCTTAGCGCTCTTTGTGCAATGGCCAATGTATAATGAATTGCATGAATTACACTGCATTGTGAAGGGCGTATTAGTGCCATTGATTAGGAGAGTTTGTCTAACCCAGTTGGAGTTGGGCACAATATGGCGAATACTGCTTTGTTGGGCCAGCATAAAAAACAAACGAATATACGCCATGTTGTGACCAACTGAAACCCAAGTCGGCTAAATTCGGCGTATAGATTGCTCAGATCCCCCTCCCCCCTTCCCCTCCCAGCGTAGCGCAACATAATGTTTTATGAAGTGATGATAGTTACTGGTATATCAACCGTGTATACCGTACAGTTGATATCCTTCATCTAGCATGTAACGTGAGATGTATAATGCATGAGCTGAGAGAGAGAGAGAGAGAGAGAGAGCCATGTACATTACTTCGATTGGATAGAGATGATTATCTTGTAATAATCTGTTGATGGCCGTGTTCACATGCTCTAATGACTTCCATATGTTAGCGGCGTTAGTAGATGGTAAATATTATTATATGTATAAGTCTCCCTTGATTAGGGTACATGAATGTCTTATTATTAGTTGATGTGATATTTAAAGGGTCGTTATACACTCAGGTAAAAGAAAAGTGGACACTGTTTTCAAACCGTCAATAGAATATAATAAAATATAAAATAATCAAAATTAAAGAAAATGTAATACTCTATCAATATTAAACTTTCACGCTACTGTTCGTAACTCTGTAAAAAATGAATGTTTACTTTGATGAAAGACAAGGTCATATTATTATTTTTTCGGGGGGGGGGGGGGGGAGGGGAATCTTACCTATAAAAAATAGTGTCCACTTTTTTCCTGAGGGAATGTGGTAAATACCCGTATATTAGGCCTATAGAAATGTATGCCCTAACACTTGTAATATAACCCCCCCCCCTTCCCCCAAAACACAAAAAACAAAAAACAAAAAAACAAACAAATAACATAAAGAGTTGTAATCGATTGCATCTGCCCGATGAAGAGCATTTCCTTCAATCAATCGTACATGGGCGTAAATCCTTACGTAATACCTATTGTTCAGGGGGATGAATGAATAGATCACCCCCTGAAAAATAGGTATTACGTAAGGATTTACGCCCATGCAATCGTATCTTTACAATAGATTCTAATTTAAAATATCCATTTCATATTAATATACAATCAAAAATTGTAGCAAGATTGGAGATACAATTTATTTATTTAGATAATTGATTGTAAGTCGATTTTTGTTACAATGCCCTAACAACAACAAAAAAACATTACAATCCACCTCGCCATACTTAATGCGGCTTCCTGTGGAAAATGTCATTAAAGTTCATATAGTGTCATTTCCTTTTATGTTTATACATCAAAGTCCTATCTGTACAATGGGCCATTTTCGTAATGTAACCAAATTTAATGCATAAGTCTTTGTGAAGTGCCTCAATACAAGTTATTTCATTCACCTGGTAAGAATAATAGTATTTCAATAGACATAATCCGAACTGCATACAGAGAGAGAGAGATTTTATATAATTACAGAGAGAGAGAATAATGTGTGAGAAAGAGAGAGAGAGAGAGAGAGAGAAAGAGAGAGAGAAAGAGTTACCGAAAGAGAGAGAGAATACAGAGAGAGGGAGAGAGAGATATATAATTACAGAGAGAAAGAGAGAGAGGGAGAATAATGTTTGAGAGAGAGAGAGAGAAAGAGAGAGAAAGAGTTACACAGAGAGAGAATACAGAGAGAGGGAGAGGGAGAGAGAGAGAGTTATACATACAGTGCTCGTAATATTTGGAAGATGAAATTTAAAAAAAACTTGAAATTAATTCACGGAATAATAGACTTGATTTATTTACATATCTAATGAGCCCCTAGCAGTGAAAATATTCCATGTAGTCGAATGTGAAATATCGATTGGAAAAACATTGAAATTCAGGTGCACTGTGATATAACTTACATGTATATCAAATTGGTGCTGGATGTAATTTGGTAAACATGACAGAAAAAGGAGTTGTTTCGTAATTAAAATGACACGGATATTTTCGGAGAAATTCTTCTGTAACAGCTCCTTTGAAATCATTGATAGATTAGGGACTGTTTCCTATTGGTTGGTTGAACTTCGGTCACTTACGTCATAATCAATTTAATATCAGGGAATATAATCCATGTTATTTGGTCGAATGTGAAATTGGCTTTTCTCAAACTTCAAGCTTCATAATTACGGTCTTTAAGCACAAAAATTTAAAGGCTACAGCCCATCAATGCTAGTCTCACGGACCTTCTACTTTTCATAAGCTTCACTAAGCTGGCGGCCCCAGGACCAAAATGTGACCAACATTTTTTTCATACACCATTTTGTATTTTGTTCCTGTTCGGTCTCTTGATCCGTCGGTCTCGTAGGCCGTCAGTTTCATGGACCTTTTGGAACTTTCTTATATTCTATTATTATTTGTTCTATGTAATTTCTTGTTGGTTTCTTGGTCTCATGAACTATTGGCCTCTTATAAACTGCCGGTCCACTGCGATGACCCCGACATTAAACCCACACATATTCACCAGCCAATAATCAATCAATAACAAATTGAATAAGGAATAATGAAATCAACCACATATCTTTAAAAGTTCATCATTCACACAAACGTACAAAAAACTCTGATCTGAACAAATCTGGCTCATTAATGGTTACGATTCAATCGTTTAATTGCATGAATAAGTTTACCCAGTAGGTCAAACACGAGAAAACCAGTTGTTCATTTTTACAATGATAACGCATACATTGATTCATCCTATAATATTTACTGACATAATATCAAATCAATCAGCATTGACAAAATTGAATCAGATTTCATTCAATTTTCCACCAAAATAACTGATCATCGCTCCTCTGATGATTAGCATAAAAACATGACAAATATGATTTTATGTACATACAAACATAATTGCCTCTTTTCTAGATATGATAGACGGTACAGTTAAATGCACCACCGAAAATCACATGCAAATTGACCTTCAACCAATCAGAATACGTTTACAGCAAGCATAATTTCGTAATTTTGCGTTTAATTGCAACTGTGTTTATTAAAGTTATTTATGTTGATAATAAAAAGAGAGGCCGCGTATGTGCTAGAAGTGATGACAGTTACCATATTTAGCATGAATATTCACAAAGAAATACACTTGCCCACTCCATTGTTACACTAAACAATGACATATAAATGTTGATTGCCATTGCATTATTGTTTGTGTAAAATATGCCAAGTTTCTACCAGGTAAGGGTGATGATACATGCCTGGGAAGTGAGTGACCAATATCTTCTTTCCTATCAGATAGTTGTCTCTTCAATCCGGTTCGTTTACCATTCTTTATTATGACATAGAAACCACAACGGAAACACACGACCGACTGAAATCTTCAGTATTATCACTTATCTGAAGGTAGTGTGTGATTAATTAGTACAACGATACAATTCAATTTAAGTACACTGCACTGAGGGTCCTCTTCAAATGATTTTTGGTGTTTACATGAGCGGATTCATACAAATCCGTTTTTGACCATCCAGAAACAGATTTCATGGAAAAAAGCAATGAAATAACAAAGATAATCTGCAAAAATGTGTACTTCTAATACAATAAACAGGAATGATGTATGTTAAGAAGGCTGATATCGACTGTGAATTGAGGAATTTAATTATTTCATCATGAACAATGACCCCGTCAAGTTTCCTAATGTTACCCTGCTTACTGGTTTGACAGAACGGAGGAAGGGAGGGGGGTGGGGGGCGGGGCGGGGCTGCCCCAATTGGTTCGTCGGATGCAAAGATTAAATGCATCCGTTATTGTAAGTACAAGTTGAGAAATTCATTATCTTATGAAATTTATAGAGAAATTAATTTACGAGTGTCACTGGTGATTTCATCTGTTTTAAACTTTATACCATAATACCAAGCGGAATCATTTCGAAAAAATTCATGAAATGCAGGTGGACGCTTGCTTGAAATCAGACCAAATATTATACTTGTCTCCCCACCCGCATTGTCATGGTAAAATGCTACAATCTAAAATAGTTTAACCACTGTACATTTGCAGAAAATGCCATGTTATCATGTCCATGAGCGACGGATACGTGCAGGTGAAGCAATATTGCATTGTCATTAAAACTACCCGTGGGAAATGCCAACTCAAAGTTCAAAAGTTGTTGTAAGTTGAAATAGATTGCAAGTGACTAAGCATGTTAAACGGTATTTGAAACAAGCTTACACGTTTAATATATTTGGTATTTGACAGCCCCTTTGATCTGGCTACTTTTGATACTAGTCATATCCTAATCCTTTTTATTTCTAGTCTTAGTTTGACATGATACCATCTTTTGAAATTCTTTTATCCATCAAACATACAAAATGTGCGTCTATTGAATGTTAATCTACAATTGAATGCGACTGAAATATTCTGAACTAATTCTTAACTATATAAGAAAAGAAAAACAAGCACAAATAATGACAGAGATTCCTAGATTCATATAAAATTCTATAACGTCACATTACATATAATAAATACATATCTTATATACATACAAAGGCCTAATATTTATATATACCTTCCCAATCACAAAATATAGAGATAAAACAATGAATTTTGAAAGTTTCTCATGATAGAAATCAAACCATTCAGCGTGTCCATAAAGAAAATAAGACGTCTTCACTGCAGTATAATAATTAGTGGATGCACGGCATGGAAACACGAATAATATAATT